CAGGCCAAGGAAGTGGCGGGAGAGACTGAGACTTCTCGTCCGACTGAGCCTTTTTTCCTTTCAGGACGAGGGCAGCCCATTCTTAGTGGCTTTATGGCTTCAATTTGTTTGATCCGCTTTGCCCTTGTGCCACTCAAAGTCATCATGCCACGAAAGGTGGCCTTGATAATTTGAGTTCGTCTTGTTCGGTGGGTGAAACCATCGTCATTAGATGTCATTAGTGTTCGATGTCGGATTTCCAAGGTCATAGTATGGCTGGTTGCTGAAGCCTTTCTTCATGGGTCGCTTGCTCGCTAGTTGGTAGAGGCCTTGGCCATTTTGAATTGCAATTATCTAGAATCACGGTATGATCATCCTCGATGGATGGATTAAATCGGTGGTCTTTGCTGGAATGAGAGGTCCAGTCTCGGTGTCCGAATCACTGGGTTGTGACCCAGTCCGCCCTGCAGGGCGCTGCTCCTTTGCTCGATCAATCCAACATCCCCCCAGTAAACCGCCCAGCCACGGAATTGTTGACGGAAGTCACGGTCCCAGTCCGTTATTGCGCACAGTTGGGCGAGCTGGCAGCCCTGTGCTGCCTTGCAAAATGGCTGAGAGGAGAAGAAAGGCTTGGCACAGTGGTTCAGGGCAAGCTGTTCCTCTCAAAGTGTGATCCCAAAGCTTCCTATTGGCAGGTCGATCAAAGGGGTTGTTTTTCCTGGAAATCATGATGTGTTGATATGTGTTTAACTTGGAAACTGATAGTTGTTTGATATAACTATATGTTGTAATGGGAAACCAAAGCGGCTGACTGTCCATAGGTCGAGACATCTCTCATCAGAATCTCTCACCCTCGGTCGAGCAGACCGGGGACCCAGCGGCAACCTGTGATTCCTATCGTTCATCAGTCGCCGCTCATCAGGGCGCTCCAAGCAGCACGCGGAGCAGTGACAGGCGCCGAACGGGGAGTATTTCACGGGGTGCAGACGACCTGTGAACTGGGGACCTGTGCAAAATCAGGCCCTGGCAATAACAATCTCACGTTTGATGGAAGACAGATCCAGTGGTTCTTGTGACCTGGAGGTGGTGCAAAACGATTTCCTTCCAGCGTAGGACTCCAAGATGTGACAACATATATGTGCATGGAATATCGTGGAATGTGGGTCAGACATGTTGTACAACAGGATCCGGATGCGTCCTCTGCAATTTGGAAGCTCATGTTTGGAGGAACATGATGTCTCACAGAAGACACAGGGCTCTCTTCCATACTTGTCCATACTGGTGCTCTTGGTTTGTGAGGTGTGCGAAAGAAGAGCGTGATCACACAGGAGATGGGAAGGGAGAGGTGGCTGACGGGCCTTGTTTGAAGGGAATTAGACACCACTGGACGACCAATGAGGATAATGAAGACTCCATCGGAGGTGCCACAAAACTTTAAGAGTTTCATCGAGTTTCACTCCGGTTTCCATCGGTTTCCACATTCATTTTTTTTTGTTGTTGCTTCTCACAACCCAAGAGCAACTGTCTAAACAAACATTTGAATCTGCAGTTTTCATCAATTGAATGTCTAGAATCTAGAAGAGCTCCAACAAGGCTTGCCGCTAAAAGGTGTGCAGGTTCAAGTTCAAAAAGCGTGCGAATCGTCATGCTTCGCCATGCGCTCCAGGAGCGCCTACGCTGGCTGAAGAGCCAAGAAGCCTCCCGTGCCAGAGGAGTTGGCGCTGTGCGCGTGCGGCAGGTCTTGGTGGCCACTGAGCAGATGGCAGACGAGGCACACCGAGCAGTCTTGGTGGCAGAGAAGGGGCCGAGGAGAGGGTGGGTCGATACGTGGAGATCGGTCGATGTTCGATTCTTTTAATGTTCAAGGGATTGACAGTATATTTGAATAGTGTAATCCACGATCGCATAGTATGGTTGCATCCGAGAATCCTGCAGGTCCACAGTGCTGAGATGTTAGAGATGCTAACTCCAACTGCACTCTCCTGCAGCATCACAAACCTGTGAGAAGCCAGGTGCGCCGACGGGTGCTGCGGGACCCAGAGGCCTTCGTCCATTTGGCAGACATGAGTCTGGATCAGGGCGACTTAGGCTGGGACAGCCAGAGTTGGAGGATTGTTCGTTACCTTCAGCTTTTGGGGCGGTGGTCAAGTGGTCCAGGTGAGCGGAAAGGGAGTTCTTGTCGTCGTGCGTGGGAGTGGCCCGTTGCGCTCGATGACTTTGAGAATAATTAGAACTTTAACAGTCAACTTGTTCAGAACAGCATACATTGACAGGGAGTTGCCATTCTTCATCGATGGATTCTGCAGATTCGACTCTTTTGTTTTCTAAAGTGAAAGGACAGCAGGTTCAAGGATCCTTCTGACATTTCGCCAGGCTGGGTTGGGCTACGCGGCTGAAGCTTCAGAATGGGAAGTGGAAGATCGGCCAGGGAATGATTTTCCGCATGGATGTGCAAATGATTTGCTTCCATATTAGACACTGTAGACATGTTTAGAGAACAACAGGGGGCAGATCTTCCTTTTATGATTTGCTCCTGACCTGGTGAGATCCAGCAATTCAGGTTCCACACAAAAACAATGTCCTCACCGCGGAATTCTGAGTAATGCGCAAAATATGAGTCGCCCGCAATTTCGGTCCATAGGGTCACAGTGAGTGGTCTTACAATCATCTCCGCCCCGTAGAACGGATGTAAAACAAGGTCTGACAAGTCTAAGGAGCCTCCGTTCCTGCTTAGCTTCTTCATGAGACGACGAGTCCTGAATTGGCTGGTTCGGCTGTTTCATCCAGGAGTTTGGTCAAGATTTGGTGCTTATATATATATATATTATAACTTATATCTCGAAGTAAGTATGGATTTGGAGAATCTGAACATCGGTCGATTCACCGAGGACCTAGAACATGCCACTGTCCAGACGCTTCAGGCTGGAGGATCATTTCCTTGACGAGCAGCTGCCGCGCAGCGTGCGGCAGCAAGCGCTGCAAGCACAGCCGGGAGACGTTTTGAAACTGGAAAGTTCGAAGGGTTGCTGGGCGGAAAAGATGTGGGAAGCATGGCTGGAGGCCATTGCTTCTAGGTTGGAGGCCATCGCTCTTAGGGGGAGGCCATCGCTATTAGGTTGGAGGCAATTGCTATCAGGTTGGAGGCGAGGCCATTGCTTCTATGGATCATTGATCAAAGTCGACCTGGTTTCGGTGTTTGTTGAAGCCAAACAAAGATCTTCCACTTTTTTAAATAGGGGGCCTATGCGGAGGCCTCACGTGACTCACGTGACGGGCGAAGCCATGAGGATGCACAGGTTTGGACCTCCATCCAGTCCCATCATTCCTTTTGGATCCCTCCGGTCCATCGCAACACTGTGTCATATCACTCCGGGTCCATGTCAACCCACATGTCGACTGGACGTGGACGCGCGGGATCCGACGTAAAATGCGCCCTCCCAAAAAAGCAAGTTTCGGTGGGCCCGGCTGCTCAAGAGGTAAGAGAATGCTATGATGGCCAAGGTTGGCACATCATCCGCATCGAAGATGTGATGCTGGATCTCCGCGTGAAACGGCTGGAGAGATCCAGATCTCAAAGCAGCTTGGCCCTGGATTTGGGCACCAAACCTTGCGGATGAAGAGACCCAGAGTGGACAGTAATCCGGCTGCTAGGAGTCGCTTGTGTTGCTGTTGCGGCTGTCGTTGTGGTCGTCGTCGTCGTCGTCGTCGTCGTCGTCGTTGTATGTTGTTGTTGCTGTTACTGTTCCTGCTACAGTACTCCTTTGCCCAAGGAAACACTTCATGAACATCACAAACTTATTGCTGCTGCGTTTGTTGCATGCTGCTATCATGATCCCAACTTGGGTCCATCGCAACTTTATTTTCTGGTCTTTCGGTGGGTATCTCTCATGTTTCATCATGTGACTAGTGTGGATGTTTTGTCTCATGCGCAGAGCGCTCCTGCACCAAGATGTCAGTGAGGAATACAAGTAATCTCTGGACATGTTGATGTGGTACAGGTCATGCCATGTCATGCCATGAATTCGCCCATAAAAGGAGACACACACACACATGGTCTGCAGACTAGCATCTTGGACCATTGGTCGTCTGGGCTGGGACAATGTTCGGAACTCTCCGAATGTTTGGTTTGCAGGTGCAAATAGTTTTTGTTCTTTGGCAAAAGAAGGGGGCGACTGCTTCCCCAATTTTTGGGCAATGAGCGAAGCTGAAGCCTGCGCAAAGCTTCGGAAAGCTTTGCAAATCCGAGCGGTTGGAGTGCCCTTTGCAACATGATCCAACTGGTTCGTGTTGAATTTTTTCTCCGGAGATTCCACGCATAGGCTCGGCCAAAGATGCCGGCACTTACACCGTGGCTCGGCGAAGAAGTGAAGGGTGCGAACGAGTTGAAGTAGAGAGAGAGAGAGAGGTTGTGACAAAAGTGAATGATTGATCGTGATGTTATTGGTTGGGGTTGAGAGAAATCATGGACAAGAGTCCTCAACAGGGGTTCTATATTCAATCTGGCACCACTGGAAAAGCGAGAGGACGCTCCACCATCAGCCAAGACCGTTGCCACCACTAGGAGAAAGTATGAGACTCTACTGGCAGACTGTTTGACTCTGTGCGCCTAATGACTTGGGAACCTTGCTCAATCCTTTTCTGAACAGGCTTGCTGGCGGGCAAGACCCTTCTGCCAGACGGTGCTTGGCTCAGGTTGTTACCATGGGCTGTCAGATGAACCAGGCTGACTCGGAGCGCATGGAAGGCACGTGGAAGCACATGGTGTGCTAAGCACGACCCTTTGAGCGTTGCTGACTAAACTGATGGAGCGGCTAGTAGAAACGATTGGTCTACGTACTCCGGACATCTTAAGACAATCAGAACGTTTTTGGTCCCTGAGCAGCTGAGAAGGTTTTGGCTGTAGGTTTAGAGATTGTACAAGTTCATCACTTCACAGACAAATTTAGACGCCAGATGAACAATTTGTTGGGTGTTGTGCCATTCGTTGCGAAGTTGCTTGCCATTTTCAAGCAGCATGAAACATGCTGACCTTGCGTGCAGGGCAACTTCAGTCTGTTGGGTTGCGGCCCGTACTGGAAGAGCAGCAGCCAGACGTGGTGGTGCTGAACACCTGCTCCATTAGAGACAAGGTAGGGATTGATTGAACAAATCAAACAGTCTCAATTCATATCAATTAGAACAAACACATGTTATATAAATCCTCTACAGAGCGTTGGGATGGATAAAGGAAAAGGCCTGGTTATGTGTCTTGAAAGGTGGTGTGCACAGATGGACTAGCAGCACTGCAACTGGCAGACATTACAATGACCTGAGCGAAACAAAGTTGTTTTGGTTTGACCGACCCAAAGATTTTGTCACATGTCATGACGCTTTGAAATTTATCAATCCCCAAAAATCAGAATCTTGGATAGGGTGGTTGGGGCATCTAATCCAGCCGTGTGGGTTGTTAAGGGGTGAAGATCCAAGTTTTGGATGGATCAATGAAATCTGAAAGAGAAACTGATGCACGAGTCAGGATACTTGTTTCAGGTTTTGGGACACCAAGAGGGCTGAACTGACAACAGTTGTGGAACCAAATAGATTCAATCATATTCAATCAGATTCTATAGGAAAAACTCATTTTGCACTTGTGTTCAGTGGTGACCTTTTTTCAGCTATGAATGCTGTTGGGGGATGTTCAACAGGCCCAAGTCACTGTAGGGGTCTTGGAGCCAGGCTGAGAAGAAGGTCTACGCCCGCTTGGACCCGCACTTGCAGCGCAAGCGCAAGGGGGACGATGTGACTATCGTCGTCTCCGGGTTCCTCAGCAGCAAGCGCTTATTCTCAAATGTTTTGGTATTGCTCAAGATATGAGGTACAAAAGAGAAACCAGTTGATAGAGCAACATTAAAACATCTACACTGCACTGCCCTGTCTCACTAAGATATTGAAATGGTGTTGATCAACACATCAAGACAATCTCAGCAAACACCAAGTGGACCGGACCACGTGACCAGCCCTTTGGCCCACCACATGGCCGAAGAGCCTCACACTGTCTCCACACCGTCTCCACATGACCGAAGAGTTCGTGATCCTCATATTGGTTCAATTGATCCTCATATTGGGCCCGGCCGTGCGGATCCGTCGTATTTGTATTTTTTTTTTTTCGCCATGACCTCCTGCCGCGGTCCAGCGACGCCGGTCCGGTCAGCAGGTGTGTGGCGCAACAGGAGGGTGAAGAGTTGCTCCGTGCTCTCCCAGAGGCGGAAGCTTTGCGGACATTTCGGCGAATTCTGCGTGCGGAATCAATGGATCAACCGGACATGGGACGAAATATTACAAAACGTTTGTTTGTCCCTTTATTCCCTTTATCAACACGGATCATGAAGGTGATCCAGATAGACAGGCACTTCTTTTAGTCATTCTCAGGGACATGTCTTAGAATGGCTAACCGTCCTGCGAGAGTGTCATTCTGAAGGTGCTGGTCTGATGATTTTTGGGGTCGAGACTCTATGATGATATTTCTTGTAATCTGGTTGATTCACACATACTGCGTATACCACACAGTTTCCTGAATCCTTCCACTCCGAAATCTATTTTCTTGAGGGTTTTGGCCATCATTGAGCACCTTCAGAGTACCATGGATACCGTACTGCGAAGATTTCTAGAGGATGATGTTGCTGTTGACATTGTGTTTGACTTCAAACCATTTTGATCCATTTTGCAATATTTTGAATTTCATCCAAGGCAGCGATGGGGACAGGCACCGTGTTCAACATGTTCAGGTCCCACACAGGATGGGACTCCAAAAACCAACACCAAGTTCACACCCCCATTGGGACCAAATGGGACCCAGAACCATCACTCCCGCAAAGGGGCACCGTTGCTGTCTTGGGAGCTACGGAGCCATCTGCAACCGATGAGGTGGACGTGGTGATGGGCCCTCAGTTCGCCAACCGCTTGGGCGATGTGCTGAACGAGTCCATGCAAGGCGGGCGCAGAGAAAACGATCTGACGGGTGGAGGAGTTCATGAAATTTCAGAGGTGCTGACAGACATTGTTTGTTGTTGAAGTGGCTGAAGATGGCCGGTGTCCTCAAGCAGCCAATACAAAGCAAGATTGGACACGTTCCTTCATAAAGATCGTCAAGAGCTAGAGGCACCCTGATCATGAGTAGAGATGTTGATCACTCTCTTTCGGAATTAGGCCTTACATTTGTTGCGAACCATCCGCACTAACTCTTGGTTAGGCTGAGACAGTTCATGACAGATCCATATTCTGTATATCTGGGGATGGTTTAGATCCGTGTGTACCACTTGACGCTATACGCACTCTTCGTTTCCCCCAACAATTGCAAGATATTGCAAGGTTACCCCCCCACACACCCACCCACACACACAGTGCAGGAAACGTGACGGCAACAACCATCAATCTGTGTTGGAACCAGTCATCGCTCTGATCAGATCTACACCGTGACAGTGCACTTGGCAGGTGGTCAGATCTGCGTCACTGAGGAGTCGAGAAGCATGGAGGATCTCACGGTGCCCAACAGGCAAGACTATGAGATGAACCGAGTTGGGTTGCGTTCTTTTTCGTTTCGAGAGAGACACACGCAAGCACACCTTTTGCAAAGAGGACGTACCTTCAAAATCCACTAAATATGTGTGTCTCCTTGTGGCACGTCTTTGAGATGTTTGTGGTTGAAGGTATACAGCTTACTTTGTTTTGCATGCGTATACCGCCTGGAGCAGTGCTCTATGGAGACCTCGGACCCAGATGAGTGTTACTCGGGGGACTTCAGATCGTAAACACAATGGAAGAAGAACCATGAAGAACCCATGGTCAAACAACAGCGGTTGGAGTGGTTGGTTTGGATCCTTGGACCAAAGTGTTTTCTTCTTTCAGGTCACAAAGTATGTAGAAGTGATGATCCCTCGTGGTTTGATCTAATGGATCACTACAGCGTAGGGGCCATTACTTGTTCAGGTTGAGCAGGCGGAGGAGGTTCTTGTTGCAATGACCCGGGAGTGTTCTTTTCCCACTCAAAGCCTCCCAAAATACCTCCAAGTGGCAACAGCAGTTGATCATAAGCACTTTGCTTACCATTGGTCTCTTTCGAGCTAGCTAGGACCAGGCAAACAAAGAACATCTGACAAACCCAACGGACACAACGTTGTATTTGGTTTGCATTGTTTCGAATTTTTTACGTACATTTTTTGAACTTGCTTCGGCTTTGGTTTGTGATGAATGAACCCTAAGCCCTAGGCTGCTAGGCGATAGCCAGCCCTCCTTGATGAAATACATGAGCAAGCCCGAAGCGGCTAACCTCATCGGAGGCAGTCAAGCATTTCAGCCTGGGTGAACGTGATCTATGGCTGCAGCAGACTCAGACAGCATGTAGACTGTTGACTGGCTGTAAAGGTGACCGTGACAACATATTGGCGCACTAAAGTTGCAACAAGTGTAACAATGTCGCATGACCAAGTACATGTTCATACGTTTTCCATCATTTGACCGCCTCTTGCAATGCCATCTATTTAAAAAGAAAAGACACCAACCTCGAACCGTGTGGAAATGATCGGACCTCCGAGGCAATGAACGCTGCAGCTATTGTGTGCCTCGGTTTCGTCAAAGCGCAGACAGGTCCAGGGGGACCGTCCGAGCGGGAGGATATGGCGCCGGATGGTTGTGTGGCTCGCAACAGGGGGAGCAGGGAGAAGTATATGGCTTCCGGCTACGAGCGGAGCAGGGAGATGTTGTCATAGAAGTTGAGACCTCAGATTTGCCGAAGGCTGTGCGCTTTCCATGGCCCGCGCAAAGTCCCCGCCAAGAATCCCGAAGGGTTTGTCCGCAGGGTCAGGTCTTGGACTGGCACCAGAACCGGTCGCCACCTTTGATCTCTTCAGGATGGTACAGGTGAAGCCATGCGACACCTATTGAAACACAACATGTTAGCCTGATTTATGATCAGTTTCTGTAGCCATTTTGGGATAGATGCCTCGATTGATTGATGTCTGAAATTCACATGGAGAGCGACCACTGACCATCTCATTGGGAGATCCCCTATGTGACACATATCCACATGACATGTAATCAACCATACAGGCAGCCTCCAGAATGAACTTCAGCATGCTCCGCCAAGCGTAAGCATCACGATGCAAACTCATGCAGTCATTCCCTGAGGGACATACTGTATGCGTATGAGCATGAGCATACTGCAAAGACACGTACCAAAGAGACTAAAGGTTTCCTCTACACGATTGCATTGAATGACCATTGAATGTCTTGGACATCACAAACCCCTGCGCCTGGGTGCCGCTCCTCAGGTGGTGCCCTTCACCCGGGGCAGCGAGCAGTCGCGGCCCATTGGCTCCATCCGCCGGGAGGAGAGGCACAACGGGAGATGGCCTCCGAACAGGGGCCATGCGAACTATCCGAATAGCTGCCAATGCAGGTTTTACATGCTTCTATTCTCTTCCCGGTGCCCTACCTTCGTGTCTCCCTCTTCTCAATAGATATATATATATACTGTACTCATTCGTGCCGACTACTTTTTGTACATGTAGCAAGGCTTCACATGGCTTAAATTGTACTGTTCCCTGCTTCTATGCATACTCTAACTCTATGTATATATAGCTTTGAAGGGTGGAGTGCAGTATGTTGTCAGCTTTCTAACCAGCAGCCTCTACTATTTACACTTGTCGTTGGATGTGGACTTGAGCCGTTCTCACTCATAGAGCCTTGAAAGAGACAACAGCCGCAACTTCATGATACGGGGTTGGAGGAGGAGGACACTACGCCGAATGTTGAGGTTCACTAAGAAAGTGGACCACCACAAACATGTTGAGCCTGTCCTGAGACCTGAGAGTGCTTTCTTTCTAACATGCGCAAATTGTTGTAGGACACCCCTGTTTAACTGTTTGAAGAGGTTGCTTGATCTGGAGTGCCCGGGAGAAGAGTAGGCATACTGCTCCCCCTTCACCACCGGCCTTTTCCGGTCGCAGGTGTCGGACCTGCTTCGGCAAGGCTACCGGGAAGTGACTCTCCTAGGCCGGGATTATTTTGTCGCGGACGACCGCCAACCGATGACGGATCCAGTCCAACGTTGTTTTCAACAGCGGGGACTATTGCGGCGTGATTTTTTCCTAGACACTCCTGTATGGCTCTAGGTCATGTCACGTAGTGCCTGTGCTATATTCCCGTAGTTCGCACCCAGTAGAGGACACAGAAGAGTTCACGTGAGGGAAATTCACCAATTCCTTTGTTTTTTTCTGACGAGTGATCGTTGACCTGCACTGAAAATTGGAGAACAAAAATACGGTTTTGCCAATGAAAAACCAGGCCAAAACATCGACGCCTATGGCAGAGACTTCACACCTCGAAGGCAGGAGTGGTGAGTTGGATGAGTTACCTAGCTGAAAAGGGATTGAAACAATGAAACACAGCATAGATTCTGTCCTGGGAACTGTGAAGAGGAACTGGTCAAACATCTCTGCCAGGCTATTTATAGATCATGATCTACATATACTGTATAGGGATGTGCATGATGTGCAGGTGCATCCAAACCTAGGGATTGAATGTTCGGAAGAGGCTTCTCCGGAGAGCTCAATACCCGACCGGAGTCGGCTCGGAGGACCTTTGCAGAGCTGCTGTGGTCCCTGGAGGATTTGGGCATCGAACGGATCCGGTTTTTGACCTCTCATCCCAGGCGACTCCGCGGAGTGTTTTATGCGGAGCGCGAAGTGATCGACCATGATGGAAGTCGTTGGTTCCAAGAAGGATTTAAATGAATGTTCTATATTTATTTTAATTCATTTGCATCTTTTAACAATATCCTTAGCTTCATGCAAAGAAGGTCGACAAGACATAGTTAGACTTCTATTGTGACCTGACACATGTTGGTCCAAGAGATGAATCGTGGCAGGTATATTTCGGACGACTTGATCACGGCTGTTCGAGTGCCACGGCTCTAGACTCTAAACAAGACATCAGCGATGACTGGAATGGTTTCATTCGGTTTCATGTTTTGCACGATGGTGGGAGAAGACGCCCCCGAACGCGGCCTTTTCTCTCCAAGCTGAGCAAGAGCCTCCAAGCTGAGCAAGAGCCCAAGCTGGCAGGTGTAGAGATGAGTCCTGTGGTATAGAATTTGGTTTCCCCTAGCAGCATCAGTCTAAAGCTTTTGGCTTCATCCTGAGGTTGCAGAGTTGGACTATGTTGGACTTGTTGTCGATGACCTGGTACCACCCAAGGCTACACACGAGTCACGCCATACAACATCTCCATTGTAGATCGTTGTAGGGATCCAAAATTTGAACTTACTCAATTCCCCGATAGAGCATCAACATGGAGGCGGTTTATTTAGTTTTGGTGAATAGAGAGCGCGCGAGAGAGAGAGAGAGAGAACAAAGATCTTCGCCGTTTGCAGTGTGACTCAGGACATTCCCGCGGTTTGTGAGCAGTTCCACATCCCTTTCCAGTCTGGAGACGATGAGATCCTGCGCCGCATGGAGCGGGGTTACACAGCGGAGAGATACAGGTTCGTGGGCAGCGCAGAGGGTGCGCCGCGTGTCGTGAAAACACTTCAATGTTGCATGATCATCACATGTCACTATACTGCAATATAACATGGAAAGAATTGGAAAGTCCATGAAAGACCATCCATTTCAAAAGGCCGTGTTAGGTGTCGCCTCGAAAGACAACACCGTGTCCATCCGTGTCCGACAGACCGTCCACCGGACGACTTGGCCAGGCGCATCGTGGAGCGAATCCACCAAGAGATCCCCAGCGCCGGGTTATCGGCCGACGCCATCGTGGGCTTCCCCGGTGAGACGGAGGAGGGACCCGCGGGCGGTTCTGGATGGTTGAACCCCCAGGCAGAGCTCCTTTTTATGGTTGGTGTGTTTAAATGTGTTTAAGCAAGATTAATATAGGCTCAATCGATGATCCAGTGTGTAGAAAAAGGGTCGTGCATCGAGGTTCTCCTCTTAACCACCGACTTTTTGCAAATTCCATTTCGATGCTCGGTGTGTGACAGAGCCAGGCATGTCGAGACTTGAGGCTCCGGTTTGTAGGCGAGTTCAGCTGTAAGAAAGTGCGAAAGAAGCTCGTGAGAACGTGTAGCTGACCAGCTGTGAGAAGAGAAGCTCATGAGAAGCTCATGTCACCAGCTGACAGTGCCTTCTTTGGGCTTTCGAAGTCGGCCAAAGAAGATTGACATGGGTCGGCCGGACATTGACTCGAAGATCGATCACTTTTCTGAAGGTTCTCCTCTACAGTGGTGTTAAGCCTTTCAGTTTCCGGTTGGCCAAAGTACCAGGAGCAATTCCAGCGCACTCTTCAACTGGTGGAGGACCGGTGGAAGTCGCCTTTGCTCTGCATTGACTTGTGCTGGGACGGTCGTTAGAGTCGTTAGACTCCAGACAACACACACGACAGATGGGTATTTCACTCACTACACAACGGTCACAACTCGAGAAGCTAAAAGGAAGCCACAAACCGGCGATGCTCATTCATGAAGGGTATCAATCTTCATTCCATGCTTTTGTTTGGTGGATATTGAAAGATGTTGATTCTCGAGTTTCCATGTGTTGGGGTTGTAGCTTCTTGTTTCAGTCCGTTGGATACTCCGCCCACAAGCGTGTTGCATCCGAGGGGGGGTCAGGTCCTCAAGACGTTCAACTTAGATGACTGATGATGTCCTTCAAAAGCCAAAAGCTGTTGTTGAATTTCTGGGATCGCCAGTAAGGTTGGCTGAATATGCTGTCATTGCCGATTACCTCATCAGTGGGGGATGTTGGATGATTAAGATAGCTTTTGTAGGTTTTTGTCCTCAGGCCGGTTTAAAGAAAGGACACCTTCTTTGGTCCTGGTTTGCGTCCAAACTGCAAGAATTTTGAGTTGAAGTACAGTACGTGCTAGCTCAATATACAAGATGAATCAAGATGAAACTCCTGGCAATTGTGTGATAGGATATGCAGCCACCTTTTTGCTTTTGCCAAGCCTATTGGCTATCAGCCACGACTCCCCTCCGACCACACCTAGCAATCACACTTTTTACACCACCCTGTTGCTGCTTGATACTTATATAATTGCAAACAGTACCATCCACGGCCTCGAATGCACCAACAATGTGTGTTTTGCACTTTCCAAAACAAAGCAAGCATGCCCTGCTCCTTGTTTGACTGAATGATTGCATTCACACCTTTTTTCTCCACGATGGATTCATTTGCTCCACGAACCCCATAAGGAACCAAAGCCTCCGCTTGCACGGTCTACTTGCGCCAGGAGCTACCCTTCCTGACGGTGAACCTGGCCGCCTACTCGCCGCGGCCCAACACCCCGGCGGCACTGCTGAAAGATCAGGTGCCACAGGAGTGGAGTTGCAGACAGCAGTTTGGGGGGAAAGAGCTGCAGTTGGCCAAGAAAGCAGCTCAAGAGGCTGAGATATGAATGGTTTTAGTAACTACTATATAATTAGATGTAGTTGGTAGCTTACATGTGTTTAATTTATATGAAATTACACGTTCAATCATGTTCCGTTTTTGCCAGTCCTGGATCAGGGTTATTGGTTATAGGTGGTTCCTTTCTGGGAGGCTGTTTTGTGCAGGGCTTGCACTGGTTTCAGGTTTGGCAAGTGTTTATTATTTTTCCAGCTGTTGCACGGTAGAATTTGGAGAGATGCTTTGACAACTGCAGCTTGTTGCATTGGGAGTTTCAATACTATAGAGTGCAAGGGTTTCAAAAGATTAACAAGAGGGTCAACTGGCTGATGACTCAATGAATGCTGAATGTTTCCAAGGAGTTCCACTGCCCTTATCTAAAGCTAGACCCGGGTCGGGCTTCCACCCTTATTATGCAGGGTGTAGAGTTACCGCCTCAGAAACTCGTGCAATTGGAATACAATTGCTTGGAACTGCAGTGCCTGTGGACATGTCTCTACTTTCAACCCACCGCCGCCAAGTATTAGAATGCCTCGAGCAACGTCATGTCTTTGAACAAATTTACACAGCTACACACAAAATGCATGCATGAACTAGCCATAACGGGCCCTTCTAAAACCAAAGAAGCCCTTTCTCAACTGCATCCCCCCTAGACTCGGTCAACCTCATCCGCTCGGTCCGCCAGGAGACCAAGAAGCGGCGCTTGGAAGAGCTCAAGGAGTGTGTGCAGCGGGTGGGGCTGCGACAGAGCCAGCGGATGGAGGGCGAAGTCATGGAGCTGCTGGTGGATGCTGGTCGAGTCGTGGAGCGTGCGTGGCAAACACAATCCCCAAAAGCAGACTAACTGGGTGGTTCATCCATGGGGGCATGTGTACCCCTGACCAAGTTCAGTTAGGGGGAGCTGTAGGCATGTGAAACACTACCATAGCGCACTTTCATCCCAAAAGCACTGGGTGGTAATGGTCGAGGAAAATGGACCAGGTCCAGGTCCATTCTCAGGGTCCAGGGGATCGTTTGCGGTCCGGGGACTATCTAGGGTGGAAAAGGAGGCGGCTGGGCCCATCAGCATCCACAGTTGCTGGTAATGGGATTGACCCAAACTATATGCTATAAGTTACTCTATAAGTTATAGTAATATTCTGCATCAATTGACACATGTTGACACCCTCAAAGCTCCTTCTCGCACTCGCCGCGGTCCTCGGTCGCCTCAGGAAGGCGTCCACAAGCGCCGCCCTGGCGTGCTCCGGGGCCGCTTGCGGAATGGCCGGATGTGCCACGTCGAGGGTCCGGAGGACGGGTTCGTTGGTGACTGGAGGCCTCCAAAGCGTGTTTGGGTGGTCCTATTTCTGCTGTTTCTGGTGGTTCAGATGACCTTGTGAAGTTCAACATTTGCTGGTTTCGTTCGGTTGGTTTTCCCTTTTTTCCTCCTCAGAATGAATCTCCATGGGTGACATGATCATATGGGATGCCCAACTTGGGTGGGTGATTCTCAAAGTGAGCGGACCACTGCCACTGTTTCTTTCCAAGATTCAATCTCTTTGCCTGCTCGTCATAGGAGGCGCCAAGAGTGTGATGCTCACGACTCACGACCTTCTTTTCGCATGGTTCTCATTCCAGGGATCCCACTGCAGCTGTTCCAGGAGCTCATAGGATGCTTGGTGCCGGTGAGGATCACCAAGGGCTACAGCTGCTGGGCTGGTGAAGAACACCTCACAAGCCGGTGCTGTGGGGAATTTCCGACATCAATCCACCTTGTACCATTTTGCACTGTCCAAAACAAAGAAACCAGAACACCCTGAGACTGAGGGCATGCTACTTGTTGTATGGAGTGCCTATTATAAACCCTGCCTTGGGGTCTAAGAACACTGCTTGATTTATGTAAATAAAGAAGTAGCATAGAAGTAGCTTGCAATGATCTATCACTCTTGCAAGCATTTTGCAATTTGCACCCTCACAGACGACGATGACTGCACCCCAACTTGGGCTGAATTTAAAAGGACAAAAAAGGTAGTTTTGCCGGGGACATCCAATTCAATTACCTAGCAATCATGGTGAACGTTAACAGCAACTTCTTTCAGTTTGGGCGGGAGGGTATTTTTTTCCATGCCTGCAAGGCAATCCGCTCTTTGATTTGATCAAGAACTGCAATCCTTTGATGGCCGCTGCATGTGACCACCATTCGACTCTGAATCTTGATGTTGAAGGGTTAAAGGGGCTTCACTTCTACAGCTGGACCGAATTTGAGCATGGTCAAATCCAACAGTACCCCCCAAGATTGAATGACACTGGCTGAAGATAAAGAGAAAGAAGATGAAAGAAGCATCTATGTGACTAGTCTCTTGATATTCTGTTTGTACAAGAGATTCAAGAGACTGTCTTCGGTCCACCAAGCCGACCGCGGCTTCTCCGCCGAGGCTTCTCCGTGGCCGGCGCCGTGGCCGGTGAGCCGCGCTGAGCTGCAGAAAAGGGGCTCGTGCTCGGGATGGCTTGAAATACTTGCACTTGGCCATTAATTAAGCAGGATTACATGGTTCTCGTGTTGTTCAGATCGGAATAGATGTATCAGGTTTATACTCTTGTCTATAGATCTTTTCTATATATACTTTGGAAGTTGAGTGTGTCAGTATTTGATGGCAGAACATAAGTTTGGTGCAGTTTGGAAAACTGTAACTCCTCGCATACTTTGTTGGTCATATACACCATAGAATTGTCCGTCCATAATTAAAGTGCTTGTTTGAACATGCCGATGGATTGTTCATATGACCAAGTTGCTCTTACAATTTTTAAATATAGTGTTCTTTGGAGATTCCATGCAAATCTGAATATGTATGTTCCTGCTTCACTGAACCAAAGCCATGGTTTAGCTGACCCGTGCCCCGCCTGTGTGGCAGCGTAGTGTGCTTTCCTGTGGCCACAACTCCCGCTCGCAGGGGGAGGAGTGGAGTGGACAAGATCAGCAAAAGGATCAATGGAAGGAGAGCAGGGCTCCTCAGAGATGGCCAACACACTTGTGGACTTGTGGATTCACCTAGTGATTCACGTAGCCTTTTTTGGGCCATTTGTCGTGGAATGACCAATGGAACCATGTTGGGCTTATCCTTAGGATTCCTTAGGCCTATAAAGCCCCATGTGCCGTGTTGGCTGAGGGATTCACATGCCCCTTGCGTTGCCCTTTTGGAACCGCTGCCAGATGTTCCAGAGACCTCCTGGTTTGGATGGTCCTGGACCCTGTGCGTGTAAGAGGGCGAGTATGTGCCATACAAACAACACAATGTTGAAAAGGGGCTCAGAGAGCCAGACATGTTCGCACATTAGGCCATAAACAAGCCAGGTATCACTTAGTGGTTCACATACCCCGTCCAAGATTGTTTTGTACATGAGGCATACCTGTACAGCGGCTATCAAGGCTTTGAACTTGGAAAGTTGTGGGATGGGTGGTCTCCTACAATTGGAAGAGGCTTGCACATTCCAGGTGGCCAACCTTCCAACAAATCCTGCGGTTTTGAGGCTCGACCAAGTGGACAGACTGGTCTCATGGCGACTCCTGGAAAGAAGATGAAGGTGGGTGGTTCGAATCCGACGCATGGGACACGCCCAGAAAGAAGGCAGTCAAATGTTGCAAAAGGCATATAGTGGCATATATATATATACATTAGACCCGCTGTGCGTGAGATGTACTGTATGTGTATTTTTCCTTTTGTAAACCTGCGCTTCGTTTTGAGGCCCGAAAGGTGGTCCAAAGAAAGAGCATCCTGTCCAATTCCTACAGGTTTTGCCAAAAAAAGCAAGCACATTATGTCCACCATTGCGCAAGGCCAAGTGATCTACCACGTGTTTGCATTGTTCTCTGAACACCTCAGTGCACAGCCTTGGCGGGCCTATATAGAGTCTATTTGATTCTCAGTTATTTTTCCATATTTGTCCCATAGATATTTGGACAGAGTCTTTCCCATAACTTAACTTCGCAAGGGAATTCTTTGTGGATTATCCTGCCGATTCTACACAGTATATATCCTGAAAATGTATGAACATGTAATATTCCCCACCGGAACCCAACACAACTGTTGATGATTACATATACCCCTAAAATCTTTTGGAGTGTCCAGGTCGCCCTGCAATTTCGGACCTCGAACACTGGCCCAAACCACAGCCAGGTGAGCAGGGTCAGCAGGGCACGCACACTCACAGCTATCGTGCCTGGGTGTTGTATTATGTGTTTTTGACGTGGATCGGATAGAGTGCTGTCGCTGTAGGTGATTATTCGGCTATACTCTTCTGAAGATTGTAAATTGTTTGGCTTGGATTTTGGATTTGGAGCACTTCATAGTGATTTCAGAAGTTTTGAGGCTCTAAACTGGTAGCCCTTTTGGTCTTTTGTCTTGTCGAGAGATAGACCACTTCTGTTGCTGACCATCCTTGCTTAGCCCTTTAGCAGTGTGGCCCAAACGGAGTTCCACACTCCATTTCTCCTTGTTCCAACCACCATCCCTTGGCACTGCCCATCACTGCCCCCTTGGCGCATGGCACGGACCAAGGTCGCGCCCCCGCTGCAGGGAGCAGTTTCTTCCGGCTCGCGGGTGTCCTCAGCACCGGCGGCCGCTTTGCCAGCAGCGGCGGCGTCGAGGGCGAAGGTGCGAGTGATGTTCAGCGCGGTGCTGGGAGCACAGCGGGGACGCGGGGACGAAGGGACGTAGAAGACGTAGATGAGATGAGTTTTTGAGTTGTTTCCCTCATGTTTATACTCTTTACTTCACCATCTAGTGCATCGAAAAACCCTCATTCCAGCAGTTGCTCATTCGGTTCCATACGATGCTTTGTGGGTAGCTCAAGCGACCCTGAAGGAAACAGCACGCGGGCCACCGCGCGCCGGCCGCGCCGGGAGTGTTGCACCGGTGGTCTCAGGGTTTGTTTGCGCTGTGGAAACTCCAGGTGATTGGGAGGAGACGGAAGAAGACATCAGCCTGAAGTGGCGGAAGGATGATGAGGACGGACAGAAGCAACGGCCCGGGTTAACAGGCCCGCTTAGAAGCGGGTTGACATGGATCTTGCACTACACCAAATCAACAATCTAGTGCAACTGCTGCGCTGTAGGCTGCTAAGAACAGTACTGTACCGCGTAAAGGACACGCAAGTGCTTAGGCCGACTTTTGCGCTTGGCCATTGCCAGTGTTGAACTGTTGAACATGCATTATCTTGAGTCCTTGTTCGCAGGAAAGGCGAGGCTTAAGGGTCCTCTATTGTTAAAGAGCCCCATAGATTTTTCAGGATACTGCAATTATAGTCAACCTGCACTTGAGACCAAACTCAAAGATGTAGAACGGAGTCTCGCATTTCCCAACTCCCAACCAAATCATTGATACCTCTTGGAACACGAAAAACAAGACAGTTTCTCCACGATATGGACATGAATCCAAAGCTAGATCATGTCCACCTTGTTGTTCCAATGGGGTCTTTGCGGCATGCCACCGGGAGGAAGAGACACCCAAGGCTCGAGTTGGAGAATACTGGCAGACCGGAGCACTGGAGAAGTATTTGCCGAGTTGTATGTTCAGTGTGGACTAGCTGACTTGGGTTATAGATGGTTATAGATTTGCTGCGTCTAGGTGAACATATATAACAAAACAAACGACTGGGGTACGTTTCAGTTGTCGCGATTTGAGGATGCACTCTAATTATAATATTGAGAAAATGAAGCAAGTGGCCCTGAATTTAAGGCAGGCACATCCCCAGAAGAGCTGCACAAGTTTGAACGGACAATCTCATCAAGAATCGGGCAAGTTGTCAACCCGAGTCTTCCTCCCTAAGCTTTGTCTCACCTGCCAAGACGGTCGATTGCAGTATATTAGGCCGTGAAGGATGGACAGCGCAGCATTAGGATTGCCACTTGAAGTATGGGTCTGGCTGCTCAAACAGTGATCCAGAGGACCACAACCTTCAGTGATGTGGTGTTGGAGCCTTCAGTGATTTGATGTGGTGTGGAGCAGTATGCCCTATTTCGAGCCATACACGAAGTGGCTTGCAGCCTTCCCCCTTTTCAATGTCTCCCCTTTGTCCCGAAGCCAGAAACATTTGCCCACGACTCCGAAGGCGAGGATGCACTGGCCGAATGGACTGGGCGAATGGTGGGTTTAGGGTTCAAGCTACTTGTGGGAGATGTGCAGGAGGCTATAGATTATGATGGTTTATGGGTGAGATGGACTCCAACCAGCAAACCTCCAAACATCTTTACGGGACTTCCAATAAGATACCCATTTCCAGACTAGCTGAAGGAATGACATATGAATCATAGTGAATCCTTTTGCCCTGGATGCCAAAAGAGATTTGCACACGTACTCATAACTTCAATAATTGCGTGCAGCTTGGTCCTTTTTCTTTGCTCTTCCTCGCTCTTTGTTGTTAAGTTACACCAGTCACATCTGCCCACTTGGATTGTTTGGAGGGAGTGTCAGGTTTGAACAATCTCTGTACCCTATGGTGTGCTTAGTTCAAGCAACATCACAACCTTATCAATTGGTCAAAGATGGCTCCAAACAGCCTCCAAGTGGATCCAACGACTCAGAACGCCAACCGTTGCTTGCGCCGTTGCCGTTTTGCTAACTTGGGTCTCTTTGGACCAGGCGCCGACAACGGGGCCTAACAAGCTGCCGCTGCAGCCTCAGAGGATGAAACCAAGTTTATTCAAGCCTCCGAGGAGCGAAAATTTGGCCTGACAGTTCAATGCCTGATCTTGTTCCTACGTGCACCTGGAACTGGGGGGAAGTAGAACCACGCCCTAGACTTCCTGAGTGCTTGGCTTAGTCCTCCTCAGGATGTTTAGCACAAACACATGTTTTTTGTCAACAGTTCTATTGGCAATCTCATTTTGCCCAAAGAGCCCTGAAGAGAAAAATGATGCACAAACGTGGGAGGACACATCTATGGCACTGTACACTTTTGCGCAACCGTCCGTTGTCCCTTGAGGAGATGTGCTTTACCTGCAGATGGTTGCAGAATGTCTTGGCTTTGGCTCCCAGATTCGCATCCACCCTGTTGCCATGAGCAATTGAGGTTGCAGCCGAAACCAAAGATCTTGCCAAAGACGCAGCAGTCCCAGAGATTTCGATGTCTGAGTGGAAGATGTTTTTTCAGGGTGAATGTCGATGGCACGGTGGGTCCCATGTTTTGGTCCAGTGACTGATCCAAACAGTCAGTGCACATCCCTGCGACGTTTCTCGGGTGTTCACCTGAAACGACGAGAAAGCTGAATCCATCGGATTTCATCTATGTTGCCTTTGCCCATATCGCTGGACAAGTGAGTTTGATGTTGTTTTGCAAGTTGTGCATCCCAAGTGGTACGGGAGGAAGAATGGGTCTAACGCACGTTTTCGGGAATGGAGGAACGGTGAGGGGTGGCCGTGATGGCGCCCTCGGGCGTGCCGTGGGGCCGTGAGATCTGCCAGACACCGTCGCCCCTGA